CGCGTCCACACGTGCGGCCGGGGGCAGCGCTGGAAACCCGGCGGCTTCCCCCGCCCCTGCCCGGCTGCACTCCCCTGCCTCCGCGCGGGGGATCTGGCAATGCAGGAAGCAAAGAGTGCCTGCAAACGGGGCAGGGGGGCGCTTCCGCAGGGCTTTTCTTTTCTTTGCCGTGTCTTTTACATCAAGAAAGGAGCTTTTCTTTCGCTTTTTCTTTCCAATTCGGTCGCAGGGGAGAGCTCTCGCTCTGTGCACCGCGGGCCGGGCCGGCCGGCCGGGGGAAGCTGCCCGCCGCAGGCTGGCTCTGGCTCTGGCTTGCCTGCAGGATCCCTGCTTCTGCGGGCTTTCCTCACTTCTTTCTTCCTCCTGCCCATCTCTCTCCACGCTCCATATGGTGCGTGGTCACCCCTCCACGGAGTCTGGCAGTGAGCGCCTCTTCTTTTTCTTTCCCCCCTCTCTCTCCCCTCTTTATACTTCTCAAATATGGAGCGCAGGAGTTTGTTATTCCTACAGGGAAGTGTCATTATTAGACTTAGCGGCTCCCATTCCTAGCAAACCACCCCAATTTCTCTCTGATCCGGGCCAAAAGGAGAAGTGAGATCGGTTCTCTCAAAAGAGGTATCTGGCATCATCTACAAGGAGCTGACTCATGTAGACGCCTTTCAGAAGCTCTTGCTGAGCATAGCTGCAGCACAGTATAACCATGACGATGTATCTATCTATATACAGCTTTACATATAGAAAGATATCTAACAAATAACTATTCAAACACAGATAGATAGATATGCATGCATTTAAATACTTATTTTGGAAGAGTGCATGCTTCCTAGCTTGCTTAAAAATTGTTCTCCAACTATTTAAGTTAGTCTAATAAAAGATATCAGGTTCACCCAAAGAACCTTGTCTGCTTCCTAACTCCTTTTCTTTAGGGCCCAAGCAGGTTTAGACACTGGGGTTGGGGGGAGATTTGAGCTGGATGACAAGCATCTTGTTTCCAACACACAAGGATAATTTGGCAAGAGGGATTTCCTTTTTTTTTTAAACTGACAAGATCATCTTCGTACTTTTTAATGAGTCAAATCAGTAGTTTTACTGTTACCTCTTTACCCACCGCAATAACATCAAAAGTCAATCAGGATAAACTAAAAGACTTATTGGAAGCTCCCAGTGTCGGTTGGCTTAAAATAGTCCATGGTTATTTATAACGTAGAAATGAAATTTTCCACTGAACGCCCTAACAAAGTTTCAGGTATCTGGCACAGTGATTCTTAGTCTCCTTGCAAAAATATCTTTCTTCTGAGCATTTATACATTTAACAGGAACTCGCTAACGCCTGGAACATATCACATCTGAGAGCACTAGAATTTTATTTAAATGGTTAGGGCCACCTTAATAAAACTACTCCTAGCATTTATTGACCTGCATAAAGCCTTCAGCATTTTTTTTTAAATGTAGTTTATGTAATTATATGCAGAATCTATGACTATGGCTTGAATTTAGCTGGAAGATACATGGGGCAAACCTATACTCCAGCCATCCTCAGCTTGTTCTTTTGATAATCTCACGATGGATCACACTGAAAGCTGTTAGGGAGCCTTAGGATTTTAGAGGAAAAAAGCTGGCTTCTTTGGAAATTATGTCAAAAAATCACTTCCAACTTTACCATATAAAAATAAGATTTTACCAGTAATTAATTCAGCTGTGACAGCTGCAGAAGCCCATTTTGATGATCTTTTCGCTTTCGTTTTTTTTAAACTTCGACTCATCTTTCTATTATAACTGTAGTATATGCAAGATTTTTTTGTTAGAAAATAACCTATTTGAAGTGGTTCCCTATCTATTGACTTCTAAACTGGTAAAATATGGGTCCAGCAATCTCTGATCCCATCAAAAATCTCGTGATGTAAACATCATATGATCAAGGTGAAAAATAATTGGCAAATGTTGAAAGTTTCTGTACGGGGTGATGTTTCCTAAAAATAGTTGTTTTGATGCTAGTGTGCTGGATTGGAATGTGCTGTCAACATGATACCACTGAGTCTCTTCTAACCATTCTCTCTATGTGTGAATAGCCTTGAAGGAAAATAGAATAAATTAATGTGTTTAACAGGTTTGTTATTGTATCAGATATTTGGAGTGGGAGTATTGTAGCTAGGTCAGCAATTGCTACTATAGTTAAGAGCTTGCCAATATTTTCTTTCCAAATTCCACCTTCCAGGAGCTTCTAACTCACTCATGAAAATGTACATCAAATTGCACTGTGGTGTGGAAGTAGGGTGGTCCTGATCCTTCAGAAATCAATGCTTAGATTTCCATTGGCACCACTGGAAGCATGGTGAGGCCCAGTGTCTCTCACAAGCACTTTGCTTTCCTTATGGTTACAAGTTGGATACTTGTCCAACTATTCTTTGAATTAAATGTCGGTGGGATACTTACAATTGTATCTGACATTTTTGATGGGTTGTTTACCACGCTGATGAGAACTCTTACAAAAATATATAGACTACTTCAGTCTCTTTATTTTAGCTACCATGTGCCTATCCCACTGATTTATGACCTAAATAAAAGAAAATTCTTTGTATCCTGAAGCTTGCTGTAAGCATTTAATAACTCAGCACCTTACACTGATCAGTGTTTACAGCTTGTAGCATAATATGAAAAAATGAAAGACAGGACTACCTAACCAAGAATTTATTGACATGAATAGTATTATTGTTTCACACAATATTGTCCAGTAGGAAGAAGAGAGGACTGCGAGTTGGGACTCTTCGTTTCTGTTTCAGTTTGTTGTCAGGCCTTGGGCACATCACTTAATGTCTCTGTGCTTCATTGTAAAATGGGGATAATAATAATGACTTCACATCTTGTGAGA